AGAGAGTTCATCAATGTTCTGGTGTACTAAGAAACAATATCACTGCAACTCCCTGTGAGCCAGACCACTGTTTGCCCTTTAAAAGGATTTACTTTGGAATGCCAGATCTTTCTGGTATTTTCTGTTTTTTCATAACCTGATATTTCTGTGAATGACATTTTCCCCTCGGAGGTACATTCCAGAATAAATGAATCAGGAAGTGAACAGTATTGCAATTTAAGTACTGGTATCTTATACAGGGCTGTTGAGTCAGTACACTAGACCAGGGGTAGGCAACCTTTCCCCTTTAAGGGCTGAGGGACTTCAGCTCCCAGAATCCCAGGAGCTATTGGCCAACATGGGACTATTGGCCAACATGGCTGAGGCTTCTGGGAGCTGAAGTCCTTCGGCCCTTATAGGGGAAAGGTTGCCTACCCCTGCACTAGACCTTCAACTCTTCTATTTTTCTGCTGATTGATTTAGTTTCAGACTTTCACTCTTTCATATATGGCAAATGTATATAAATTAGTAATAACAAATTTACTATAGTAAAGTGGTAGCACAAGACTTTTCATCACTACCACATGAACCATCAGGCTACTTAGATTGATAGAACATAAAATATATTAATTTGAAATTTCCTAAATTCCTATGAAAGTACAGGTTGAATCTCTTAACCGGAATTCCAAAATCTGAAATATTCCAGAAACCAAAGCGTTTATCATGGGTGGCTGAGATAGTGACACCTTTGCTTTCTAGTGGTTCAGTGTACACAAATTTTTATTTCAGACACAAAATTATTACACATATTATATAAAATTACCTTCAGGCTTTGTGCATAAATTGTATATGAAGCATAAATTAATTTTGTATTTATGTTTGGATCCTATCTCCATGATGCTTCATTATGTACGTATATGCAAATACAGGTGTCCCCACCCCATTAAAAAAAAAATCCAAAAGATCTTTGGTCCCAAGCATTTCAGATAAGGGGGACTTAGCCTGGAAATATGTAATGAACTAGGCATTTAATACAATTTAAAAGGTAAATATAAGTATAAAATGATATTTTACCAGATATTAGTATAATATTAGAAGACTTTTTAAAAAAAAGTTGGAGTTGGTAGTGGAATCTTTCTCCTGACCACCAAAATGTATTCTGCTTCCTACTCCATAACACTGACTTGACAGGCCTAGTCTTTTTGGAAATAGGCTCCTTCCTGTGATGGGAAAATATTAAAATATGGGGAGTGAGGGAAGAATAGAATAAAGTTCTAGAAAATACAGGGTGGAAAAAAGTAAAGGACATGTATTATATAAGCAATTTTTCTAGATGTCTGCCTCGAGGAAGCAGAGGAAGGTTTTAGGATTCTATACTATGTATTTTTACTGTTGTTAGGCGCCCCGATTGTGCTCAGAGAGGCGGGATATAAATAAAAATTTATTATTGCTGTTGTTGTTGTTGTTGTTGTTGTTGTTGTAGTAGCAAATGTGCAGGGATTTTTTAGGAAACACAGCATGCCTTAGAAAATTCTCTCCCTGGAACTTCCAGCCAAACCCTCCTGCAGATTCTGCATTTAGATCAGGATGCAAAGGACCTCATAACATCTAGTGGATTTTTAAAATTTCTTTAGAAAATTACCTTTCCTCATCCATTACTAAACATGGATTATTATATCTGAAACTGCCCTGTGCTTCTGAAGCAGAAAGCCATGTAGGATAAGGAGTGGCTGTTCTTTGAACATATGTGCAGAGCCCCTGGTTGGGTAGTTCTTTGCTGCCTGGCCTTTGTCTTGCAAAGGTTTTAGACCTGTGGCTTTTATTTGAATTGTTTTGAATTGGATGTTTCTAAGCTGTGTGCAGCCCACTGTTGAACAAATAATTAGTTTCTTTTGTGATGTTAGATGGTATAAGGCCCTATTCCATGAACACTCAGTGACTGTAGGACAGACACAGATTGTCTATGGGTTGTAGTATATTGATGAGGAAATGCCTTTCATCTCTTATTGCAAATAAATTTTCATATATATTGTTTCAATTACTTCTGTGGGTTTTTTTCATGGGTTCTTGTGAAATTATTAAGTATCTTCTACAGCAGGGGTAGGCAACCTAAGGCCCGGGGGTCGGATGCGGCCCCCCGAGGCCTTTGGACCAGCCCCAGGCCGGTCCTGCTGCCGCTGCTGCCCCCCCCCCCGGCCGGCCGCCATGATGATATTGATTATTGTTGTTATTACTTGTTCTTGGGGTTTTCTTGGCAAAATCTCCACAGGGGTTTTGCCATGGCTTTTCTGGGGCTGAGAGAGTGTGCATGCATATTTTTTAAAATGTTTAAAATATTTTTAAATTCTTATTTATTTATTTATTTATTTATTTATTTATTTATGGTGCTTCGGCCCCCCAATTGTCTGAGGGACAGTAACCCGGCCCCCGGCTCAAAAAGGTTGCCTACCCCTGTTCTACAGCTTAGATCAATTCTTGTAATTTTTACTCTTCACCTCTGCTAGTACAGTATGTTTATCATTATGAGCACAGTTACATCACTTGGAAGTAGTAAATAGTTCAGACAAATAATGCATTGTTATTATTGTGAACCACCACCAAGTTCATTATGTAACCAACAAGGAAATGCTGTTGCTAGTGGCAAGCCCAGGACAAGTAATGGGACTCTGGGCAAAGTTGGCTGAGTTTTTGAATGACACAGGATTGTTGTGATATGTGGGCTTTGGGTGACGAATTTTCAGAAACACTGCTGTACTAATTGCTGGAACAAAGAATTTTTGGGCTACTTTGAGCCAACTTACAATGGAATTAGAATTTTAACAACGTCTTGCAAATACTTAACATGTTGACCTTAATGAAGTAACTTGCTCCTTGGGCTGGGAATTACTTTTAACTGCTGTTCTGTGAACAGCTGTGACATGGGTTGGGTATTGTTTAAATAGAAAAGTGTTCATGGAAGCAGCCCTTCGTCTTTTGCACTGTAGAGTCCCATAGTTTACACCTACCATAGAAGGCTGGAAGTGGCAAGAGACCTTACTGGGCCACTCCCCACTGCATCACAGAAAGATAAAAAAAATGTATGCCTCGAACCCCATTTTAGGTGGTGTGAGGGACATTTTTGTCATGTTTTTAAAGGCCCAGGGGAAGCCTCTTTAAGCAATAGGAATGGAGTGGAGTGGAAGTCACTTCCTGTTCAATTCCTATTTCATCAAAAGGCCTCTCTTAGGCCTAAGTTCATCTGTGGGTAAAAAAACAAAACATAGCAAAAATGTCTCATGCCCCCAAAAGTTGTTCTCTGGGGGAGGGGTCAAAATGGCCCTGGGGGCCAAACAGAGCCTATGGAGCACACTTTACTCACTGCAGATTACGTTCTTGTGATTAGTCCTCTCCCATGTAATTGGGGCCTGCTAATGTTACCATAACTGAACTGCAGTGGCTCATTGAAAGAAACTTATACAAGAAGGATGAGATCAACAGACTAGCAAGGAAACCTTCAACAGTTAAGAATGCAATCTTCTTGTATCATAATTTTTTTGAGACATATGAGACATAATTTTTTTCTTAGGTTCTCTAAGTAACAAAGAAAAGTGACTTAACATGTAATGATATACAAAGGTCACAAACCATGCCACTGATCATATTAGATATAGATATATTAATAATATCACCAGTAGCCTTATGTATATACCTCATGTAAAATATCATTACATGTTAACATCTGCTGAGAAAACCTATAAGAAAGAAGCTTATATCAAAATGTACTGCTCAAGAACACAGGAAAACCATCTATAAGAATGGAGAATTAGGATACAGGAGCTAGTTTGTACAGATCTCCATTTAAATATAATGGCTTCTGCTACCACTTGTATATTCATGAATCTGATTTTTGGATGGAGAGAAACCAAAATCGCTCTGAACCTATGAAAATCATCCATGTATATGCTGTGCCTTCAGTGGGTTGGATTGTGTCCAGGTAAAAATAAATTAAACCATTTCTTACTAATTCTCTCATGAAGATTAGAAATGTTACATTTTTATATGCTTAACCAATAGAACACAAAGTTTACCCCATAAATGGAAACCAACCCATGGGATGTCATGAGATAAAATCATGACCATGGCAAGTTTATTCTCTTTTAAACATAATTGAGTCATGCTTAGAAAAGGAGGATTCCCCAGTGGCAACCAGGGACATATTTTTTATAGCTGCAGAATGCAAACTTTGATTACTATTATTTTTATTCTAGATAGAAAATAAAACATAGGCTGAAAGTGCATCCATGGTTTATCTGTATCTTTATATAATGTTAAAAGACTGTCACTTTAGCACATGCTTGGTGTTTTCTTAGGTATTCATAAGTACAAGTTATTATACTTAGCCAATTCGCTTTCCTGCTTTTAAGAGGATGAAATTACCTGATTCTAATGTTACTTCTTTTTGTAAGAGCACCAATATTAAAATGCTATATTGTTTGCATTTTTGATAGGGTAAAAAGGATGTGGCTCAGATATTCAACAACATTCTGAGGAGACAGATTGGTACAAGAACACCCACAGTTGAGTATATCTGCACTCAGCAAAATATACTTTTCATGCTGTTGAAAGGGTATGTATTGTATGGTATAACCTAGTACTGTATACACTAGTACTGTATAACTAGTAACTGCTGTGCTTCCAAATTAACACTAGTCCACATAATGACTCTATCGTACTCTTCAGCCCTTTACACTGCCTAGAATTGTAAAAATTGATAACAGTCTGCTTCAGTCTGTAGAACCAAGCTCTGCTGACACAGGTGCAGCTGCTGCTGTGTTTATAAGTGGTGGCGGGGGGGGGGGGGAGCTGTGATTATAGAAATGATGGTTGTATGTCTTAATTTAGAGCAGGGATGACCTGCTTCCTTTGTAGTGGACATTTCTTCACGAATCTTCTTAGAAACAGAGGTTTTAAAAGTGCTTCAAATGCTACTCTTCTCAGTGCTGCACCATTGAGTGTCAGTGGTAAAATCTGTGGTGGGATGGGGCAGCATAGCATAGTGGTTTGAGTGTTGTACTTTGATTCTTCAGACCAGGGTTCAAATCCCTGCTAAGCTATGAGACCCACCGGATGACTTTGGGTAAGTTACACTCTCTCATAGGATGGCAATGGCAAACCCCCTCCAAAGAAACTTGCCAAGAAGACCCTATGATAGGTTTGTCTTAGGTCTCCATAAGTTGGAAATGACTTAAAGGAACACAATAACAAACAACAAAATGGGTCACTGGCTGCTCTCAAAAATTGAGTAAAGGACAAGTTTATGAGTTTATCACACAGGGGAAATTGGGAGTTTAAACAATGATTAACCTGTAAAAATTGCACAATTGACAATAAAATGTGCTTAAAACGACATTAGCACAAGTTCCATTATCCCATGAAGAACCAGGGAATAACCAGGCAAGAAACAGCACAAAGTCATTCATGGGAAAATTCCGTGAATGAGTTGCTGTTGTTAGTTGCCTGGTTATTCATGGGATATTGACACTTTAATCATGTTTCATCTCAGTGTTGTATGAAAACCATTCACACAATTGCGTGCAAGTGCAGGCTAATCATGGATTCTGCATGGGTTAACAGCACTTTGCATGCTGATGTTGTATGAAAACCATTCGCACAATTGTGGGTTAATCATGGGTTAATCACCATTTATACTTCAAATTTTCCCCCGTGTGATAAACTCCTATGAGCGGTGTTTTGCCACAGCTGATGGGGAGGAACAAAAAGGGAATAGACCTAAAATACACATCGAACAATACAGTAGTGTTCAGAAGTAATGCTAAACATCACTCCCAAGTCCATGTGTTTGCATATACATGCACCAGAACAGCCACAAGAAGGAGTTCGGAATTTTTGCTTGTGTTCTCAATAAAAGACTATGCCATCAGACTTTAAAAAGCTGTGGCTAATTTTAATGATGGTTACTGGAAACCTGCCTTTGTATTGTCTTTGTGTATGGTGTTACTCTTGCAGAAGCTTGTCCATGGAATTGTCACATCCCCAGTTGTTTGTACAGTTTGCTGTGCAAACTGGCTTTTAAATACTGACCATTTGTCTTTTATTTACTGAACAGGACTTAAGACTAAAGTCTTATGCCACAATTTCACCCTACAGCTTTTGATACAGCTTATATCCTCATAGTTATGATAACACTCTTTCTTCAAGCTTGCCCAGATAAAGGGCAATTTATTGTGTGTACTCACTACCAGATTGCTGTTTTCCTAGCATTGTCATCTGCATTGTTCCATCAGAGCATCATGTTTTATATTTTTGTTTTGCATCCTTTCACAATGAAACAAATGTGAAGCTTCAGTGTTTTGGTTCTGTTTGGAATAGAGAGAGGTCTGCATTTGTTTTAGTCCAAAAGGATATAAAATTTTGATTTATCTTTTTAAAAATCTATAAAAAACAAAAATTATAAAATATATAAAAGCTTGTCAACTTAAACATATAATTGGAAGCTTTTTATAAAATGGAAACAAATTATTTCCCCTGACCATTTTCTGTCATGATGAGTTATATGTTCAAAAAGCTATCTCCTCCTTTTCTTTCACCAACCTGTAACTTCCTCAGTCTATATTGCATTTCTCTTCAGGGAAAGTCACTCTTTCCTAGAGTAATATGTTTCATTTCCTGACCATGATGCTGCTTTATCCTAAAACACAATTGCAAGATATACGTGAGCAATGAATACATGACATGTTACTTATCCATTCAGACACTTTATTTATCTCATCCCAGTGGATCAGTATTGATGACAGTATACTAAAATCCCACTAATTCTGAGATCACTTAAATAGGTAAGATACAGTCTCATTCTGTAAAGCATTAGCCATTTAAGGTTCTATCAGTCAGAGCCACACTTCGTATCATGTTCAGATATAAAGTCTTTTATGTTACTGTTACAGTCTAAGGGCTCCTGCTATCCTCATATGGAATTTTTGAAACCACATTCTGCTTTATTTAGCGATTCTGAAAAAAGCTTTATAACTGCAGCCCATGTGTCCTGAAGGCATAAATGGGCATCACTAACTTTGAATAACAAAGGGGATAATGGAACCTTGTAATCATATGAATCTGGTGAGAAATGTTTCTGGCCAGTCCTGAAACCTGAGCATTCAGTTATCTTACTATTGAGGTGATTAACTGTCCTGTAGTAAAGGGTCTGGAAAAAGTGTATAAGCCATTGTCAAAGCAGAATATTTAGAACTGGAATTTGTTCTTAAGCTAGAATACAACCCACCTTCTCCATGTGTGAATGGAAAGCTGTATTTGTGAGTGGGATATGAAGTGGACAGTATTCACTTCTCTCTGTATTACCGTATTTTCCGGCGCATAAGATGACTGGGCGTAAAATACGACCCCCAACTTTTCCAGTTAAAATATAAGTTTGATATACTTGCTGTATAAGACTACCCCTCTTCCAATGCACTCCAAATAAAAATTTAAAAAAACATCAGATTTGATTTCAATATGATAATTTTAATTCAAATGCTTATGACATGCAGGTACTTAGCAGGAAAACTATCACTTATAAACACAACAAACTACAGCTCCCATGCTCCCTAACATCTATTTCTGCAGTGTGTTTTGGACCTTACTTTTTAAAAAATAGTC